CCCCCCCCCAGCCGGTCCCCCTGCACCCGCGCTCTGGCCGCGCTGCAGGTTTTTTTTTTTTTTGCTTGGTGCGGCCAAAAAGCCAGAGCCAGCCCTGAAAGTGGGACAGCCATTCCAGGGAGGGAGAGCCAGGCCGTGGGGCCAGGGCCTTGGAGCAGGGCTGCTAAGGCTTCCCTGTGATTGTCATCTGTGCTTGTGAAAGAGGCTGTGGTCTGTGTGAGAGAGGAGGGGCTGCACAGGGTCCCCTCTGCTGGGCTGGGGTCAGGGACTTGTGATGGGCTGTGAGCTGGTGGCTCGAGGAATGTGCTAAACTGTGTGGCGCCCGAGCTGCTCTTGGCACTGACTGTTGCCCCACTCACTTATTGGCAGGAGCAGGGGCCCATCTGGGGTCAAAGCACCATGTAGCAGAGTTGGGGTGGGGAACAGAGGGATTCCCTGTGTGTGTGGGGGGAAGGGTAGGGGAGGACTGAGTGCGGGGGAGGGGAGCTCATAATGAATGGGAGTTGGGTAGTGCCCCATGGGATCACTTTGTGCCGGGGAGGGAGACTCAACTTGTGGGGCAGGGGTGGTGGTGGTCATATGTGGGGGAGGGGTAGCTCTGTGTTGGGGGGCAGCTTGCTGAGTGTGCGGGTGCAAAGAGAAGGGCTGGGGGAGCTTGCTGTGTGTGGGGTGGTCTGGAGCGTACTCCGTACATGGGAGAGGAGCCCACTGGGCTGGAGGGATCCTTGTGCCTGGGGTTCCCATGCCCAGGTGTTGCCTCCCACAGGCTTGAAGCTGCAGCGTCTCTCCAGGGGCTGTGCTAGTAGCCAGGCATCTGTAACCCTCTCCAATGCCCCCCGTCCTGTGCGCACTCGGAGACGCTCCCCGCTGGATAGGGTGAGGTTGGGGAAGGGCACTGCCAAGGGTCCTGTGCTCTGACCCACTGGGGCCTGGCACTGCTCGTGGGGTTGATGTTCAGGGCAGGCAGTGAGGCCAGGTGTGCTTGGAGGGGCTGGGCCAGGTGGGCATCTCTCTTGCCATTAGCTCAGCTGCAGCCCCAATGGGTGTGCCTGGACCTGAGGGAAGGGGAGCCGGTGTTGTTCTCACAGGCATCTCCTGCCCCCTCTTCGGCCCTCCCCTTGCAGAGCCTGCCTGTTCAGAGGAGAGCCCAGAGCTTAGAGCTGAAGGTAGCAGCCAGGATGGGGGGCTGCATGTCATGGGGGAGGAGTGAGGGGCTCAGGGCTCATGCCCAGGGGAGAGGCTGGCCCTTAGTGCAATAACTGAACCAGGAAGAACTGGAGAGGGGGGAACTGTGTGTTTCGGAGTTGAGCAGGGAGGTGTGTGTGTGGTGGAGGTTTGGGGTTGTGTGGGGTGCATAGGGGGCAGTGTTGAGGGGCAGGGGGTTGCGGTGTGGGGAGGGAGGAGTACGGCATCGCATGTCTGTTCATCACAGGAGGTGTTTCTGTGGGGGTGTGAGGCTGGGGCATGGGCATGGTGACGGGCTGGGGGGAGCAGTGCTGTATGTGGGGCCCTGGGAAATAGGGGATGTGAGGCCATGATTCTGGTCCTGGACAGTCATGCTAAGGGCTGACGAGTTTGTATGGCGCTCGTGTTCGGGTGCTTGGTTGGGATCGTGTTGTTTCTAGGAAGGAAGTTAACGCGTGTATGTGTCGGGTACACGGCTCCCACTGTGGGCTGCTTATTGGATCTGTATTGGTAGTCGAGCCCTCTGTCTCTTGGGGTGCTCCGGTGTGTTGGCGGGGGTCGGACAGTGTGTGTGTGTGTGTGGGAGGGGGTGTGTGCATGTGCATGGAAGGGGTCAGACAGTGTGTGTGTGTGTGTGTGTGTGTAGGGGGAGGTTACTGTGTGTATGTGCATGTATGGAGGGAGTCAGACAAGTGTGTATGTGTTGAGAGGAGGTTACTGTGTGTGTGTGCGTGGCGGAGGTCAGGCAGTGTGTGTGTGTGTGTGTGTGTGTGCTGGGGGTGGGGGTCAGACACCGTGTCTGTGTGTTGGGGAGATGTTACTATGTGTGTTGGAGGGGTCAGACAGTGTGTTTTTGGGGGAGGCTATTGTGTGTGTGCTGGTGGGGGTCAGACTGTGTGTGTGTTGGAGGATCAGACAGTGTGTGTGTGTAGGGGTGAGGTTACTGTGTGTATGTGTGTGTGTGGAAGGGGTCAGACAGTATGTGTGTGTGTTGGGTGGAGGTTACTGTGTGTGTTGGCGGGGATCAGACTATGTGTGTGTGTGTGTGTTATAGAGAGTTTACTCTGTGTGTGTGTGTGTGTGTGTGTGTGTGTTGGAGGTGGTCAGACTGTGTGTGTTGGGGGAGGTTACTGTGTGTGTATATCTTGGAGGGCCTGGGGCAATGAGGAGGGGAGGGAATCTCACCTTGCCTCTCTGCCCCCCACCTCGTGTATGCCCACAGCTCGTACCAATGCGAGCAGGAGTGGAGACGCAGCCTGCCCTGTGTGGCCAGGGAGCCCAGCTCGTGGCCAGCACAGCAGTGCTGTGGGTGTTCCACTCCATGTAAGGGTAGGAGACACTTTATGGGGTGGCCCCAGTGCCCTAAGAGTCTCTTCTCCTGTACTGCAGTCCCCTAGGGCCAGGAGTCAAGACTGGGTCTCCGTGCTCAGTGCAGTGTGTGTGTGTGTGTGCGAAGTGTGTTTCACTGCAGCGTGGGGGGTGGGCGTGTGCTTGTAGAGTCTGTCAGTGCAGCACCCAGGGGGGAGGGGAGGGTGCATTTGTGGCATGTGTCGCTGCAATGCCAGGGTGTGTGTGGGGGTGCATGTTGTAGTGCGTGTCGCTGCAGCGGCAGGGTGGTGGTGGTGGCACTCGCTCACAGCGTGTCTCTGTAGCACCAGGGTGGGGGTGGGAAGTTCATAGCATGAGTCACTGTAGCACAGGGGTGTGTGTGCGCTCATAGCATGTGTCACTGCAGCACTGGGGGGGGGGGGGGGGTGGGTGGGTTGTATGCTTGTGGTGTGTCGCTGTAGCGCCAGGGTGGAGGCGCTCGCTCACAGCGTGTCACTGTATCACTGAGGGGGGCACAGGGTCTCTGGTCTGCCCTGCAAGGCTATCTCTCTGGCTAGAGCACGCTATGCAGTGCAGGCGGAAGCCCTTTGCAGCGTGCCCTGCGTGCGTCTGCCTGGGTGCAGTGTCCGTTTGCGTTGTGACTAGCTGGTGGGCAGGGACAGGCGTGGGGCTGGGTTTCAGTGCCTGTGTTCTTACACAGGCAGGGCTTGTAGGAGCCTTTCCCTTGGGCATTGATGTTGGGCTGCAGAGAGCTGCTGGAAATCAGCTTCTGTGACCAGCTGAGCAGGGAGGTGAGTGTGTGGAGCAGGGAACTGCTCAGCTGCTTCCTGGCTGGCAGCAGGGCTGGGCTTCTCATTCCTAGCCAGGTTGGATGTGGAGTGGCAGCGAACGGGGCATATGGGGAGCGAGGAGGCCCGAGGGATGGAGCGTTCTGTCCCTAATCTGTGGTGTCTCTGCTTCCTTGCAGCCCCTGTCCAGTGCAGGATGACGTGGCTGGCAGCCTGCCTGGGCCTGTGGCTCTTCCTGCAACTCCCCACCTTGGGCGCTGGGACACGCGTGGTCTACAAAGTGCAGGAGGAACAGCCGCCCAACACACTCATTGGGAGCTTGGCTGCCGACTACGGCTTTCCCGACGTGGGGCACCTCTATAAGCTGGAAGTGGGGGCTCCCTATCTGCGTGTGGATGGCAAGACAGGGGACATTTACACCACGGAGACCTCCATCGACCGGGAGAGCCTGCGGGAGTGCCAGAGCCAGTTCCCAGGGGAACTCTGCTTCCTGGAGTTCGAGGTGTCCATCACGGACCTGATGATGAACAGCAGCCCGCGCCTGCTGGAAGGGCAGATCGAGGTGCTGGACATCAATGACAACACTCCCAACTTCGCCTCGCCCGTCATCACACTGGCCATTCCCGAGAACACCAACATCGGGGCACTCTTCCCCATCCCCCCGGCCATGGACCGCGACGCAGGCGCCAACGGGGTCGCCTCCTATGAGCTCCTGGCTGGGCCTGAGGCGCAGGAGCTCTTCGGCCTGCAGGTGGCTGAGGATCAGGATGAGAAGCAGCCGCAGCTGATTGTCATGGGGAACCTGGACCGGGAGCAGTGGGACTCCTATGACCTGACCATCAAGGTGCAGGATGGAGGCAGCCCACCGCGGGCGAGCAGCGCCCTGCTGCGAATCACCATCCTGGACATGAATGACAACACCCCCAAGTTCGAGAAGGCCCTGTACGAGGCGGAGCTCTCAGAGAACAGCCCCGTGGGGCACTCCGTCCTCCAGGTGAGCACACAGCAGGGCACCAAGCATCATGCACAAGCTGCACTGCCCAGGCCAGCTTCCCACTTTCTTCATCAGCTTTCAAAGGAGGCGGGTGGAGCAGCTGGAGCGCCTTTATATTACTTGTTACGATTATTATTTATTAAGTGTATTATGGGAGCACTGATTGGGCCCAGTCACGGACCAGGCCCACATTGCAGTAGACACTGTACATTATTAGGAGCATTACGGTAGCTCTCATGGGCCCCTGTCATGGCCCAGGCCCCTGTGGCCCCAGGTGCTGTACAAACACAGAATAAAAAGAACAGTCTTTGTCCCAAAGGCCTCACAGTCTGTCTGTCTCGGAATGTGCTGAGGCACCACTGGGAACCTGGTTTCAGGCATGGCATGATCACAAGTGGCAGGGGTTTTGTAGGTGGGCAGCTTCCTAGTAAACCACTCAACAATGTGGTAAGATGGAAAAGAAGTGGTGGAAGGCCAGGGCTGGGCTAGCAGGGGCTGCAGATAAGGATTGAGGGGCACCAGCAGAGCTGTGCTTGGGAAGCCTGCTCACTGTCTAGCTGTGCTAAATGCTGGCTACAGACAGGAAATTAGTCTCCCTTTCAGCAGCATTAGACGCCTCTGAAACTAAAGCAGGCTCCTTTGGCTTGGCAACCCCTGGGAAGTGCCTGCTCCCCAGGGAGATGTGGGATGGTGCAGCCTCTCTTGTACATATACAAACAAAATGTGGCACTGCTGTCTCTGAAGCCCTGGGGTAGCCAAAGGCCGCTTGCATGCTACAGACTCCACAGAGAGAATTTTGAGCCCAAGCGTGGCATCCTAATGCCCATTTCGATTGGCTGGGAGCCCTGAGGGGTGGGTCTCTGTGGATTTGGTGGAAGGGGCACTGAGCCGATGGGAGCTGACATCTGTTTATCTGCAGCTGCCATCTTAATAAGCGGAGCGCGGCCAGCACTCAGCTGCTCGGCTCGCTAATTTTGATGTGAATTTTAAGAATTCATTTTTCACTGTTCAGAGAGCGAAAGTTGGAGGCAGATAAGGCAGAAGCGACAGGAGAATGGGCTGCAGCTCTGCTGCTGCCATTGCTCAGCTTTTATCTTTCAGGAAGAAAATGACTCCTCAGCTCAGGGAGTGGAGGTAAAAGGTGGAATTTACATTTAACAACTTTTGTTCTCCATCCAAATCTGCTGAGCGAGATAACGGCAGAGCTGCAAATGGGGCAGAGAGGAGCCCACTTGGAGAGCTGATTAGGAAAGCAAATGTTAGACAAACCTCCGATTCTTTAGAAAGCAAATAATAAATGTGGAAACAGGCTTATGTGAATGCAGAACTCCTGACAGGGAGGAGGGGGGTGGGGAGAGGGGATGGAGCCATGCAGAGTATGGGCAGCTCTCCTCTGTCCCTCAGCTCAGCCAACATCTCTAAGACCCAATCTGGAGCTGTTCCAGCCCTGGGACCCCCCTCCCCCACTTCTGCTGCTGCCTCTTAATCCCAGCCTCTCCCCTACATGCTATTTCTGTCCTGGGTTCCCCCCATTCCCCAGCTAGGCTGGTCCCCTCAGTCCTGACCCACAGCTCCCTGCCACACACCCTCCCCCCCCATGCTATCCCAGCCCTGAGCTTCTCCCAAGATCTGTCACTGCCCCACAGTTCTGAACCTCAGCCTGCCCCCCATTGTTCCAGTCCTGGGCTCCCCCAACACCCAATTCGGCTGGTGCTCCTCAATCCCAACCTGCAGCCTCCTGCTGCCCCATCCCTGGGAATCATTAACTCTCTGCACTGAACTGCAGCAGGCTCTGGGCTGGCTTTGAGTCAGGACAGTCCAGGTGTAGGCACTGGGCTGCCTGTGTGGCTTCGGAGCAGCACCCCAGAATGGGAAGCAGTGGGTTCTAACCCAGCCTTCCCGGGTGGTGTCTTTGGCTGCATGTAACTAGCTTCGCTGCAGTGTGGCGGTGAATCAGGATTCATCTTAGCAAAGGGGTGTGCGCAGTCAGGCTGGGATCCTCTCTGCTGCTGCAAGGTCCCAGCAGGGTGCGGCCGGCTCACCTGGACGAGCTGCGTTCTAGTTCCTGGCCATTCTTTCCTGTTGCTGGGTGTCAGACCTGCTGGCTGGCTGGTTCCCATGGAGAATTCCTTGCATGCCAGAGTGGGACAGCAGGGAGTGGGGCTGAGGCAGCCTAACCGGTTAGGCCAGTTTCACTGGAGCAACATGGACAGGGTTGCTCCTGTTCAACTTGTCCTCCTCTTCCTCCTCCCATAGGTGAAAGCCAACGACTCGGATCAGGGTGCCAACGCCGAGATTGACTACTCCTTCCACCAGCCCACAGACATGGTGCGTCGCCTGCTGCGCCTGGACAGGGCCACGGGCCTCATCACTGTGCAGGGGCCCATTGACCGGGAGGACGTCAATATCCTCAAGTTCTCTGTCCTGGCCAAGGATAAGGGGGCCAATCCCAAGAGTGCCCGCACCCAGGTGGTGGTGACCATCAAGGACATGAATGACAACGCCCCCTCCATTGAAATCCGGGGTATTGGCCTCGTTACCCATCAGGACGGCATGGCCAACATCTCCGAGGACGTGCCCGTGGAGACGGCCGTGGCTCTGGTACAGGTGTCTGACCGGGATGAGGGTGAGAACGCTGTGGTCACCTGTGTGGTTGCTGGCGATGTCCCGTTCCAGCTGAGACAGGCCAGCGAGACGGGCAGTGACAGCAAGAAGAAGTACTTCTTGCAGACCACCACGCCGCTGGACTACGAGGCGGTGAAGGAGTACACCATCGAGATCGTGGCTGTGGATTCGGGGAACCCACCCCTCTCCAGTACCAACTCCCTCAAGGTGCAGGTGGTGGATGTGAACGACAACGCCCCAGTCTTCAGCCAAAGCCTCACTGAGGTGGCCTTCCCCGAGAACAATGCCCCTGATGACCTGGTGGTGGAGGTGAGCGCCAGTGACGCTGACAGTGGCTCCAATGCCAAGCTGGTTTACTCCCTGGTCATGGACCCCTCCTCCAAGGGCTTCTTCTCCATCGACCCTGACTCAGGTGAGATCCGAGTGAAGACGGTGCTGGACCGGGAGCAGAGGGAGCGCTATGAGTTCCTGGTGGTGGCAGCTGACAAGGGCAGCCCCAGTCTCAAGGGCACGGCATCTGTGGCCATCAATGTCATGGACAGGAATGACAACGACCCCAAGTTTATGCTGAGCAGCTACAACTTCTCAGTGATGGAGAACATGCCTCCCCTGAGCCCGGTGGGCATGGTGACAGTGATTGACGCTGACAAGGGCGACAACGCCCGAATCCAGCTGTCAGTGGAGCAGGACAACGGGGACTTTGTCATCCAGAATGGCACTGGCACCATACTCTCCAGCATCTCCTTTGACCGGGAGCAGCAGAGCACGTACACCTTTCGGCTCAAAGCTGTGGATGGAGGGGACCCTCCCAGATCTGCCTACGTGGGGGTGACCATCAACGTGCTGGACGAGAACGACAATGCCCCTTTCATCACCTCCCCTTCCAATGCCTCTTACAAGCACATCCTGCCCCACACCAGCCCCGGGCAGCAGGTCAGCAAGGTCAAGGCTGAGGACATTGACTCGGGGGTCAATGCAGAGCTGACCTACAGCATCACAGGGGGCAACCCCTTCGAGCTGTTCCAGATCTCACCGCAGAGCGGGGACATCACGCTGGAGAAGGAGATCCTGCGTAAGCACCATGGCCTGCACCGCCTGGTGGTGCGTGTCAACGACAGGGGCAAGCCCTCGCGCCATGGCACCGCGCTGGTGCACTTCTACGTCAATGAGACCCTGGCCAACCGCACGCTGCTGGAGACCCTGCTGGGACACAGCCTGGACACGCCGCTGGACATCGACATTGCTGGCGACCCCGAGTACGAGCGCAGCAAGCAGCGCAGCAACATCCTCTTCGGCGTCATCGCTGGCATCGTGGCCGTCACCCTGGTTATTGTGCTGGTGGTGCTGGTGCGCTACTGCCGGCAGAGGGAGGCCAAGAGCGGCTACCAGGCGGGCAAGAAGGAGACCAAGGACCTGTACGCCCCCAATCAGGGCAACAAGAGCAGCAAGAGCAAGAGCAAAGTGAAGAAGAGCAAGTCCCCCAAGCCGCCCAAACCGGCCGATGACGAGGAGGAGACTGGACTGCAGAAGTCCCTCAAGTTCAACCTCATGAACGACTCCGTCAGTGACAGCCCCCGCATCCACCTGCCTCTCAACTACCCGCCTGGGAGCCCGGACCTGGGGCGCCACTACCGCTCCAACTCCCCGCTGCCCTCCATCCAGTTGCAGCCCCAGTCGCCCTCTGCCTCTAAGAAGCACCAGGTGGTGCAGGACCTGCCTGCCACTAACACCTTTGTGGGCACTGGGGACAACAACTCGACAGGCTCCGAGCAGTACTCTGACTACAGCTACCGCACCAACCCCCAGAAATACACCAACAAGCAGGTAGGAGAGCTCGTCCTGAGTCCGCCGGACGCACCCCCTCTGCATCGGGGCGCCATCTGGACGGAGGTGTGGGAGTGAGCATGGACCCACCCCTGGCCGCACGGGAATGGCCTGGGGGGCTGGCAGAGGACTAATGGAGCAGCTAGCCATGGCTCCTTCCTGGGGCAGGAAAAGGCAGGGGCTGAAGGCACTGTGACCTGCGGGCAGCCTCCTGTGGCTGATGGGGGTGGTAGCCACTGGGCTGCATTGCTGGGGGTTCCCCTGATGGGAAGGAGCCCTGCATGTGCTGGGCGAGGGGTCTGGACGGACTGGATCCGCAGCCCCTGTGCCCCAGTAGCAGCCGAGCACTGACCAGGCCTGCCAGCACCAGCAGATGGCAGTGCCCACCCATCCCATCCAGTGAGTCACGCTTGCTCCATCTGTGCTGGGTGCCTGGGGCCTGCACCTTGCTGGTCCCAAAAGGAGCTGGCTTCCAGCCCTGCCCTGGGTCGGGGGTGCTGTGCCCAGTCCCAGCCCATTATTGCTAGCAGCAGCCTCTGAAGTGCCAGCTCGGGGCTCCCTGGGAAGGGGGCTGAGCCTGTTACCGCCCTGGGCCAAAGCAAATCTGTAAGAGAAGCTTTTGCTCCTGGTGCGGCTGCCTGGGGTGAGGAGCCCGGCCTGTGTTCCAGCGCCAGCCCTTGCTGCCCGAGGTGCTTGGCCCTTTGCTCCAGCCTGAGCATCAGGCTTGTCGCTGGAGCTGCAGGAGCTACCGTGTTTCCCCGAAAATAAGACAGTGTCTTATATTAATTTTTGCTCCCAAAGATGCGCTAGGTCTTATTTTCAGGGGAGGTCTTATTTTTCCTGGAGCTTCGGGGCCTTATATTCCAGGGTGGCCTTATTATCGGGGAGGTCTTATTTTCGGGGGATGTCTTATATTACAGCGAGAGGCAAAACTGGAAGTAGGTCTTATTTTCGGGGAAACAGGGTATGCTGCAGCCTCTGCCAAGCCCACTGCAGAGGAGATCAGAGTACAGCTTGTTACCAGAAGTGAGGGGGCTGGGCTGCACCAGGGCTGTCTGTGTGTGTCGGGGCTGGGGAGCCAGGGCTCGCGGAGTTGGGGTCTCTGCTGGGGAGCAGGAGGTGGCTGTGCCGAGGGGAGCTGGGACTGGGGGGGGGTATCTCTGCTTGGGAGCAGGAGGCGGCTGTGCCAGTTGGGGCTGGGGAGCGAGGGCTGGGGAGGGTCTCTGCTGAGGAGCAGGAGGTGGCTATGCCGAGTTTCGGGCAGAGCTGGGGAGTGAGGGCTGGGGAGGGTCTCTGCTGGGGAGCAGGAGGTGTCTGTGCTGAGGTTCGGAGCGGGGTCACTGCTGAGAGTTGGGGCTGAGCGTGTCTTGCTGCATGAGGGGACAGAGCAAAGGTCCTGGCTGCATCTTGAGGGACTTGGGTGGGGGAGGGGAGAGCAAATCTGGGAGGGTTCGAGGCTTTGAGGACATCCTGCCTGACTGCCTCATCTTGCAGGGCTCCTGCTTTGTGGGCCCTGTTGGGATCTGCCCATGGGGGTGGGGCTTCCTGCAGCATTGGCATTATATCCTGTGTGCCCTGGGGCTAGGCTGGGTTCCCCTCCCCCCCACTGCATTGTATGTATCCTGTGTGTCCCATGGGACTGGGCTCCCCTCCCCCTCCATTGCATTGTAGCCTGTGTGTCCCATGGGACTGGGCTCCCCTCCCCCCATTGCATTGTATGTAGCCTGTGTCCCATGGGACTGGGCTCCCCTCCCCGTCCATTGCATTGTAGCCTGTGTGTCCCATGGGACTGGGCTCCCCCTGTTGCATTGTAGCCTGTGTGTCCCATGGGGATGGGCTGCCCCCATTGAATTTGCCCTCAATAAAGTTTTATATTTTTGAATGCTGTGTTTTGTTTTCCATAAGGCCCAGAGGTGGGGGGAGGGGGAGTGAAGGGAAGGGGGCTCTGCCTCCACCCCACCCCATCCCTCCATAATACAGCTGGGGGCAGTGGCACATTATCCACCACCCCAACTGCATCTCCTCTCCTCTCTCCCTGTGGGGACATAGCAGGTGAGCCTAGAAATGGTGTTGTAAGGCCCGGTCCCGTGCAGGCAAGGGGCAGCAATAGTTTGGGCTGCCTCTCCCACACCATGGAGCCTAAGCTGCACCTGGGGAAAATTTCCAGGGCTGCGCCTCACAGCAAAACCCCCGCTCTGGGTCAGGCCCCGCTCCTCCCAGCCCTGAGGTTTGTGCCTGTGCCCTGGTGCTAGTTCCTCTCCTGTACCCTGGCTCCTTGTGCCTGAGTCCTGCTTTCCTGCCTGTGGGATAGGCTGGGGCAGGGCGGCTTGGGAGGGAACATGGCATGTCCCTGGGTGGTTGTACCGTGCTGGTGCGCTCCATTAGGGTTACCATATTTTAATATTCTAAAAGGAGGACACGCCACAGGGCCCCGGCCCCGCCCCTTCCCCACCCCCAGCCCAGCCCCAACTCCGCCCCTTCCCCAAAGTCCCTGCCCCAACTCCGCCCCCTCCCCTGAACGCTCCGCCCCCTGCTCCTCCCTCTCCCCTGCTTCCCACGAATCAAATGTTCGCAGGAAGCCTGAGGCAGGCAGGCAGCAGGTAAACTGGGGCTGGGGCTGGGGCGGTGGGGTGGGGTGGGGGCGCGAGGAGGCACGGCCCAGTCCGGCCCCCCCGGCCGAGCGGCTCCCTCCGGTGGCTGGCCCCGGCCAAGAGGCTCTGGCCCTGGCGTCTCCGGCCCCGCTCGGGCCCTGGGGCGCCGGCCCTGGTTCCGGCCGAGTGCGCCGGCCCCGGCCGAGCGGCTTCGGCCCTAGCGACTCCAGCTTGGCTCGGGCCCCGGGGCCCCGGCCGAGCGGTGCCGGCCGGTGGCCGAGCACCCCCAGCCCCGGTCCCAGCGGCTCCGGCCCGGCTTGGCTCGGGCCCCGGTTCCAGACGAGCGGCTCGGGCCCGGCCCCGGCCCTGGCCCTGGGTGAGCGGCGCCGGCCGGCGGCCGAGCACCCCCAGCCCCAGTCCTAACGGCTTGGGCCCCGGTTCTGGTCGAGCGGCTCCGGCCCGGCCCCGGCCCTGGCCGAGCGGCGCCGGCCGGCGGCTGAGCACGGCTGGCCCCAGCGGCTCCGGCTCCAGCGGCTCCAGCCCAGACCCAAGCCCCACGACCCCTCCCTATTTTCCCGGACATGTCCGGCTTTTTGGAATTTCCTCCCGGACGGGGATTTGAGGACCAAAAAGCAGGACATGTCCGGGAAAATCCGGACGTATGGTAACCCTAGCTCCATTCCATGGCACGCTGCTTGTGAATGATGGGGGCTGCTGCAGACATCCAGCCCCTCCCTGTGCTGGAATCAAGCCTTACCACTAGGGTTGCCAACTTGGCAATATTTAAAAACTGGACACTCCAGCAGGAGTGGAACCTCCCCTGCCCTGCCTCTTCCCCCTGAGGCTCCATCCTACTCTGCCTCTTCCCCCCAAAGCCCCACTCCTGCCCATCTCTTCCTCTGAGGCCCTGCCCCATCCACTCCTCTCCCCCCCCACCCCATTACTTGCTTCCCTCCCCCCCCCACTCCACCCTGTGTGGGTTGGGGCTGGGAGCTGCAGTCACGTGACAAAGGTAGGAGGTGGCCCTGGCTGAGTAAAGGCTGGAGCGGGTGATGACCTGGTGCCTCTCTGCTTCCCCCGCTCACAGTAACTGGACTTTGGGTGTCTGGTCAGTAGATCTGACTGGACACTGTCAGGTCCCCTTTTCAACCAGATTTTCTGTTTGAAAACTGGGCACTTGGCCACGCTACTTGCCACAAGGGAGCTCCAGCGTGCCAGTGCGCGCCTGGAGCTGCTCCATGCACCCCCACTGGGTGCAGCGGGATCAGCGACGGTCAGCGCTTGTGCCCAGCAGGGCAGTGTGGTGTGTGCATGCAGAGGGGCTGCCTGCGGGAGCAGTTACTGATCAGGTCTCCATACTGCAGTGGGGTCTGTGTGAGCAGGGAGAGGGAGCGAGGAGCCATGGTCCAGCAGGAGGAGAGGGAATAGTTATGGACGAGCTCCATTAGAGTTCATAAAGCAACTGCCAAAGTGCTCGGGGCCTCTTCCCTTGCCCCCTCCCCACTGCACAGAGCTATCCCTCTGCTTGGGCCTCAAACCCGGTCCCTGACCCCTGCCATTCTCTCCCTCGCCCCTTATCCCAGGGGTTTGTTCCTGCACTCTTGTGCCCACTGCAGGCAGGTGCCTATGGAGTTGTGGCATAAGAACGGCCATACTGGGTCAGACCAATAGCCCAGTATCCTGTCTCTGACAGTGGCCAGTGCCAGATGCTTCAGGGGGTATGTACAGAACAGGGCAGTTGGAGGGTGATCCACCCCATCTTTTCCCCCAGCTTCTGGCAGTCAGAGGTTTAGGGTCACCCAGCGCATGGGGTTGTGCCCCTGATCATCTTGGCTAATTTAGCCATTGATAGGCCTATCTTCCATGAACTTATCTAATTCTTTTGTGAACCCAGCTATACTTTTGACCTTCACAACATCCCCTGGCAATGAGTTCCACAGGTTGACTGTGTGTTGTGTGAAAAAGTATTTCCCTATTTATTAAACCTGCTGCCTATTAATTTCATTGGGCGACCCCTGGTTTTTATATTGTGGGAAAGGGTAACTAACACTTTTCTAATAATTTTCTCTGCACCATTCATGATTTTATAGACCTCTGTCGTATACCCTCTAGTCTTCTCTTTTTTAAGATGAACAGCCAAAATCTCTCCTCATAGTGAAGCCGTTCCACACCCTTGATAATTTTGGTTGCCTTTCTCTGAACCTTTCCCAGTTCCACTATAACCTTTTTGAGATAGGGTGATCAGAACTGCACGCAGTGCTCAAGGTGTGGGTGCAGCATGGATTTATACAGTGGCTTTATCTTATTTTCTGTCTTATTTTCTATCACTGTCCTAATGGTTCCTAGCATTCTGTTATCCTTTTTGACCACGGCTGTGCTGATGTTTTCAGAGAACTATCCACAATGACT